CCGGACCCCGGCCCGGAGCAGCTCCCCCCGGCGCCCGTCCCGCAGCTGAGCCCGGATCTCCCGCTCCAGCTCCCGCACGGACAGCGACACTGCGGGACACGGCGGCGCTCAGCCCGAGCCCAAACCGGGATAAAAACACCCGGAGAGGTGATGGAACTGAGCCCCAAAACTGGGATAAAAACACCCGGAAAGGGGACAGGAACCGAGCCCAAACCGGGATAAAAACACCGGGAAAGGGGACGGAACTGAGCCCAAACCGGGATAAAAACACCCGGAAAGGGGACGGAACAGAGCCCGAAATTGGGATAAAAACACCGGGACAGGGGATGGAACAGAGCCCGAAACCGGGATAAAAACACCCGGAGAGGGGACGGAACAGAGCCCCAAAACCGGGATAAAAACACCCGGAAAGGGAACAGGAACCGAGCCTGAACCGGGATAAAAACACCAGGAAAGGGAACAGGAACTGAGCCCCAAAACCGGGATAAAAACACCCGGAGAGGGGACGGAACCGAGCCCGAAACCGGGATAAAAACATCGGGAGAGGGGACGGGAACAGAGCCCGAAACCGGGATAAAAACACCCGGAAAGGGGATGGAACTGAGCCCCAAACCGGGATAAAAACACCCGGAAAGGGCACAGGAACCGAGCCCAAAACCGGGATAAAAACACCCGGAAAGGGCACAGGAACCGAGCCCGAAATTGGGATAAAAACACCCGGAGAAGGGGATGGAACAGAGCCCCAAAACCGGGATAAAAACATCGGGAGAGGGGATGGAACAGAGCCCCAAAACCGGGATAAAAACATCAGGAGAGGGGATGGGAACTGAGGCCAAAATTGGGATAAAAACACCGGGAAAGGGAACAGGAACCGAGCCCGAATTTGGGATAAAAACATCGGGAAAGGTCCTGGGAACTGAGGCCAAAATTGGGATAAAAACACCCGGAGAGGGGACGGAACTGAGCCCCAAAATTGCGATAAAAACACCCAGAAAGGGAACGGGAACAGAGCCCAAAATTGCGATAAAAACACCCGGAAAGGCCCCAAGTCCTGACCCCAAAATTTGGGATAAAAATATGAAATTTGTGCTGAGCCCCAAAATTTGGGATAAAACCACGGAATTTGTGCTGAGCCCCAAAATTTGGGATAAAAACCACGGAATTTGTGCTGAGCCCCAAAATTTGGGATAAAAACCACGGAATTTGTGCTGATCCCCAAAATTTGGGATAAAAACCACGGAATTTGTGCTGAGCCCCAAAATTTGGGATAAAAAGCACGGAATTTGTGCTGAGCCCCAAAATTTGGGATAAAAAGCACGGAATTTGTGCTGAGCCCCAAAATTTGGGATAAAAACCACGGAATTTGTGCTGATCCCCAAAATTTGGGATAAAAACCACAGAATTTGTGCTGAGCCCAGGGGCCGTTGGTGGCCCAGGGCCAGCAGCTCCTCCTCACCTCGGGACAAAACCTCTTCCTCCACATCCTCATCCTCGCCAAAATCGATGAAGGCCTCGAGGTGGGCGAGCGCCTGCGGGGGGGAACCGCGGGATGGCCACCAGGGGGTTTGGTGGCCACATGGGAGGGTTTGGTGGCCACCAGGGGGTTTGGTGGCCACATGGGAGGGATTGGTGGCCACCAGGGGGTTTGGTGGCCACATGGGAGGGATTGGTGGCCACCAGGGGGTTTGGTGGCCACATGGGAAGGTTTGGTGGCCACATGGGAGGGTTTGGTGGCCACATGGGAGGGTTTGGTGGCCACCAGGGGGTTTGGTGGCCACATGGGAAGGTTTGGTGGCCACATGGGAGGGATTGGTGGCCACCAGGGGGTTTGGTGGCCACATGGGAAGGTTTGGTGGCCACCAGGGGGTTTGGTGGCCACATGGGAGGGATTGGTGGCCACATAAGTGAGCTCCACCTCAAGGCTTGGTGGCCCCGCAGGAGGTCATGGTGGCCCCACAAGGGCTGGGTAGCCACAGGAGGACTCAGTAGCCCCACAGGAACACTCAGTAGCCCACAGGAACATTCGGTAGTCACAGGAACACCCGATAGCCCCCCCAGAAACACTTGGTAGCTACAGGAACACTTGGTAGCCCACAGGAACACCCGGTAGTCACAGGAACACCGGATAGCCCCAGGAACACTCAGTAGCCCCCAGGAACACCCGGTAGCCCCCAGGAACACCCAGTAGCCCCCCAGCAACCTCTGGTAGCCCCAGCACCCAGTGGCCTCAGGAACACTCAGTAGCCCCACAGGAACACTCAGTAGCCCCAGGAACACCTGATAGCCCCAGGAGCACTCAGTAGCCCACAGGAACACTTGGTAGTCCCAGGAACACTCGGTAGCCCCCCAGCAGCCGCCGGTAGCCCCCGGTAGCCCCCACCTGTGTGAGGGTGCGGCTCCAGCGCTGCAGCAGCTGGCCCAGCTCGCCCTCCGCTTGCCGCAGGGCCTGGCGCCGCTGCGCCGCCGTCTCGGCCCCGATCAGGTCCCGCACGCCCTCGGCCCCCGTCAGGTCCAGCTTGCCCCGGCGGAACGCACGGAGGGTGAACTCGCCACGCTCGGCCGGACGCAGCCCCGGCAGCCGGCCTGGACACCGGAGAGGGGACAGGGACATGGAGAGGGGACATCGGACATGGAGAGGGGACACCGGACATGGAACGGGGACATGGGACACGGAGAGGGGACATTGGGACACCGGACATGGAGAGGGGACATCGGGCATGGAGAGGGGACACTGGGACATGGAGAGGGGACACTGGGACATGGAACAGGGACATGGGACACAGAGAGGGGACACTGGGACATGGAGAGGGGACATCGGGCATGGAGAG